ACCTCTTATGTTATTTTGTATGGTCTTTCTATTTACTTTTATATTCTGTTTGTTCAATTTCAGTTGCATCAAGTCAAGATCTATTTGCAATACAAGAAGCAATTAAACGAGCGCGAACTATGGACGAAGTGGAACGTCTTCATCAGTTACTAAGTAGTGGTCAGTTTGCAGGATTTGCAGCTCAGTGGCAGAAACAATTAAGGCAGCAACAACAACAGAAGTCCTCTCAGTAATCATCATATATAAATATTTATATGAGGGACAGTAAAAAGCTATCTATTGACAAAGTTTTCAGTGACTCTTTGTAAAGACTGTACTATAATAATATATGTGTATGCATATTTTTAACTGTTATATATGGTGCAATTAATCTCGAGTAAATATTTTACTTTACTATCAATAAATTAGTTTTTGTTAATGAATAGTGTGGTTCTATCCTAGGTTTGTTTAAAATAGTCTCATACGTAGTGTAGAAAAAGACATGATGGGCAGATGAAATGAATATTTATTGTGAGAGATCACAAAACGCTTGCATAATGCGTTTAAATAGCCTTCGATCATCCATTAGCATCTTGCTGTGTTCTACAATCCGAACCGTCTGATCTTCCAGTGTTTTACCCACGCCGTGCTTTTGATGTACTGGAAATCTTTTCTACGTCTGACGACTGTGACAGATTCGAGGTCACGTTCCGCTACACACTACTTACAAGCATTCTTGTGAGTGGCGTTCATCACAATAGTAGTGATAGATGAATGGACAGTTTAGGTTAAGGAATATGTTACCGTTTTGCAAATCCAATTATCTTATCAACTGTATATAGTTCATTTCCTACTTTTTCACGCCCTAAATTAGTATCGTTTTTTGGTAATTCACCTTATCCTACATTTTTTAAATATGGAAAAATGGATTGTTACGTAATCGCACTTACTTATATACTTACGCCTGTTACTCCCAGTGGAGTATAGGCCGCCGACCAGCATTCTCGAACCCACTCTGTCCTGGGCTTTCCTTTCTAGTTCTATCCAATTTTTGTTCATTTTTCTCATATCTGTTTCCATTTCTCGGCGTAGTGTGTTCTTTGGTCTTCCTCTCCTCCTTTGGCCTTGAGTATTCCTAGTGAGGGCTGTCTTGTGACGCAGTTGGGTGCTTTCCTCAATGTGTGTCCTATCCACTTCCAGCGCTTTTTCCTCCTACGGATCCGAAGTAGTATGCGCAGACGACTGTTAATAAATAATTGTATCTTCTGGATGATTGCTTTCGTAGTTCTCCAAGTTTCCGCCTGATACAGTAGAACTGTCTTGACATTTGTATTGAAAATTCTGGCTTTGGTGTTGGTTGTAGATACTCTGCTCTTGCATTACCGGTCCGCACCTTCACATCATCAGATCCATTAATGAGGCTGCCCAGTTATGTAAAGGTTTTTACACTCCAAACCTCCGTCAAGTATGATTTGATTGTTGCATGTTGTGTTGTATCAGAGAATCTTGTTTTTCCCTTTGTGTATTTTGAGACTGCAGTCAATCGTCGAGAAGTGCCCAACAAAAGACCTGACTATTTTGATGGGAGACCTAAATGCCAAGGTTGGAATTGACAACACCGGATATGAAGAGATCATGGGACGACACGGACTGGGAGAAAGGAACGAAAATGGTGAGAGATTTGCAAGTCTATGTGCCCTCAATAAACTGGTCATAGGCGGCACTATATTCCCACATAAACGCATACACAAAACCACATGGACTTCACCGGATCACAGCACACAGAACCAAATCGACCATATCTGCATCAACAAAAAGTTCAGGAGGACGTGAGAACAAAGAGAGAAGCTGATATAGCATCAGATCACTTGCTGGTCGCCAAGATGAAATTGAAACTCAAGAGGCACTGGACAACGGGGCAGACAATATCACAAAAATTTAATACGGCTCTTCTTCGGGATAATGACAAACTCAATAAATTCAAGATAACCCTCAACAATAAGTTCCAAGCCTTTCATGATCTACTCAATGGAGAAGGAACTACTATGGAGAGCAACTGGAAAGAGATAAAAGAAGCAATCACTTCAACATGTCATGAGGTTCTGGGCCAAAAGAAGCACCATCACAAGGATTGGATCACGGTCGATACACTGGATAAGATTCAAGAAAGGAGGAACAAGAAAGCAGCAATCAATACCAGTCGAACAAGAGCAGAAAAAGTCAAGGCACAGGCTGAATACACAGAAGTAAACAAGCAAGTGAAGAGGAGCATCAGAACTGACAAACGTAAATATGTGGAAGATTTGGCATTGACGGCGGAAAAGGCTGCGAGAGAAGGAAACATGAGACAACTGTATGACACAACAAAGAAACTCTCCGGAAATCACCGTAAACCAGAACGACCAGTGAAAAGCAAGGAAGGCAAGATAATCACCAACATTGAAGAACAACGAAACAGGTGGGTAGAACACTTCAAAGAACTCTTGAATCGACCAGCCTCACTGAACCCACCCAACATCGAAGCAGCACTCACGGACCTCCCAATTGATGTTGGCGCACCGACAAGTGAAGAAATCAGCATGGCTATCAGACAAATCAAGAGTGGCAAAGCAGCAGGACTAGACAGCATTCCAGCAGAGGCACTGAAAGCAGACGTAGCGGCAACTGCAAGGATACTCCAAACTCTCTTCAAAAAGATCTGGGATGAGGAACAGGTACCAAAAGACTGGAAAGAAGGACTTCTAGTGAAAATACCAAAGAAAGGCGATCTCAGCAACTGTGACAACTACAGGGGAATCACTCTTCTTTCAATACCAGGAAAAGTCTTCAACAGGGTATTGTTAAACAGGATGAAGGACTCCGTAGACGCCCAACTTCGAGACCAACAGGCAGGATTCCGTAAGGATAGATCGTGCACAGACCAAATCGCAACTCTACGGATCATTGTAGAAACCTAAGGGGTAACACCCAGAAATTGGAGATACATCATAGCAGAACGAACTGTGGACACAACATCTACTCCGTAAGAGTTGTCAAGTGCTGGAGTTCGCTGCCGACTGAACTAGTCCAAGCGAATTTCCAGGAGTCCTTTAAGAGAAAACTTGACCTATTGTTAAGGACTAAGGATGACATCTTATTATGATTTATCATTTTTTTCTTCTATTACCGTTCCCTCCTGGAGGTATTAGTGATCCACAGCTACTAGACGCGGTAGCCTGTCAAGCGAAAGCTTCTTTTATTCCGTCCACAACCATTTGCAACACTATTTGAACCATATGATGATATTGACTACATTGGAAAAAGTCACTTGATTTGAGGTGAGCGGAACAGGACGACAATGAGTTCCGGCGCCGATCCTGACTCGTCTTGTGTAATAACAGCTGTTGGTTTTGTCGCACAGGCTGGAGCCAAACAGCAAAAGTATGAAGTCGTAAGTTGAAACACTTTTTTATCGTTGGTTCACAACTGTAAACCACATTTTGTTGCTCCGAACATAGCAAGCACTCAAGTTTAATAAAATTATTGGAGTATATGAAATGTTTTAAGCTATACATCATTGGAGTCAACTGACTTAAAGTCGCTATTAATCTTTGTGCTCATTTTGAATGTTGATCCTTTCCCTCGAGCGTATTTGGGAGTTCCAGTCCCCGGATGTTGGGTAAATTTTAGGGCTTTACTTGGAGTCATCTGAAAACTCGAAGTTTCGGGAAAACCCAAAATTTCTGACAATTTTGTGGATTTCTCCAAGATTTTAAGTCAGTTCAGAGAGATTTCCCCACACCTGAAGAAATTTTTGGGGTTTGGGCAATTTCCCCAAAAGTTTTCATTGTGGCTTCAAATTTTCCTCTCAAATCTGGGGATCGGAATGTTATGTACTCAATAACAGACCACCACCAATACGAAGCCTGAATTGAATGCATTTCGATCCATGTTAGTAAGAATTATCGTTGTAGTGAGATAGATGTAATGATTTAAATATCAGTTAGATCTTAATAATGTTGGTATCGATAATATTAAGAGACTGAAAATTATGTACCTAATGTAGCAGTTGCTGAATTTGTTAATATGAGGTGGAGCCTGTGAAACTAGTTATTTTATTGTTATTCCGTAAACACAATATCTAGTTAGCGTTTTTTGAGCGAGTTAGTTTTCTATGGGATGAGGTCGCTAACTTCATGCCCAGCCCTCCTCATTTACACGGGCTTTGGACCGGCATTATCCCCAGAGGGGCTCCAGGCGGAGTTAAACACAGTATCAGTTGACTAGAAAAAGAAACGGATGATCTTGTTACATCGAATGAACGCTATGTGGTTTTTCTTGTATGTCACATTATTCCACCCACTATACCAAGTTTAAACTAATTTTGGGAATAAAGGTATGCTTGGTGCTGTCAGTGATTTTACTTCATCCTCATTCTCTGTTTTATCAGGAACTTTGATGAATGTGTGTATCTTTGCTTGGTGAACCATGGATACGTTTTGATTCTTCTTTAAGGATATCATCCTGCATCTCCTTACGATGCTCCACTGCTTTGTGTGTCAGACGTTCTGGTGGAAGTCTTGGGGTGTGACCCCCTAAGTAAACCACCTGCTTCGGTCTGGGCACCCGGGCAGTATCACAGCCCTCACACAAATCAACTGAGATTCGTGTGTCGCATATGTATTTGGTGCCTCCTTGTACCAATACCTATGTGTTAAAATAAATAATAAATAAAATAATTGAAGAAGTTTGGGGACGGGGTTAGCAGTTCAATCCCATAACGAAGAACCTTAATAGAAAAACCAACCAGATGAATTGTCTTAAATAAATGGTAAAGATAAATCAAGACACGAAACAGGTGTTTTGGTTCTGAACTAGAAAAAGTCACTTCTCAATCACACATTTTACTTCCTTATTACATCACTAGCTCCTTTATTATATCGATCGGATATTAGGCTAGTTATTTCAACTTACATTTCTTGTAATAAAGGCATACTACTGAATAAACAAGGTAGTAGTTAAACCTTTTTAGTGAAGAGTTACTACATGCTATATGGTGTCAATTTTTTCCTTAAAAGATCCATCACACCCATTATGGCAGCATTGCATTTGGCTTGTTCTCGATCCTGTCTATGAAACCCAATTAGCATAACAAACTGCAGTCCTTCAGATCTCAAACGTTCTTCACTTGGTCTTTGTAGGCGCGTTGCTGTGAAAGTGCTCAAATTGATTTCATTTACGCCAGTTTGTTCGATGGCCATTAAAGTTTGATTGCAATCAGCGTAAAGTATTCTATACCTTGGATAAGAAAAATAAAGACAATTTTCATAAAAGGCATTCAAGTTGTATAAACAACAATTTTTTTCTTCACATGATGAAACGTAGGAATTTTTTATTTCTCTCAGATATCTACAACAACCCACCTAGAATTCAACCTGAATTGCTAATAAATGTTTATGATTGTAAATAGTGGTTTTAGGTAGTATGACGTAATAATGAAGTACCTGTTTAGTATTGTCTTGTTTTTAATCAATATAACTGATGTTATATTATTTTATCAATTACAAAACTATAGTCAGTTGGATGTAAATTGGTTACTCACTTCCATCTCTAAAAATTTCACACTTATTTTATCTGTATGATCACATGAGGTATACAAGCAATAATCACTCAAAGTACTACTCTTCTGTTGTTCTAATAATATGCCAAAAAGAATATGATAATCAGACAGAAAAATGTATGGAAAGAGAGTTGTTAATTTTTGTCAATAATACTGTTGAAAACATAACAATTGATATAGGGTTTTAAGTGAAAAATATTTACTCTGTTCATCAGCTCAATACATTTTGATTTTTTGTAAAGTAGGTTTAATCAGATTTTAATTACTGTGAAGAACAAACACTAAAAATCCTTAAATGTTGGACGGTAATTTAGTCGTTTACGGTGTAAACCAACAAACTGATCTAAATTACCCAACGGTTTAAACCAAGAATTACCCAAAAGAAAGTTATTTTTCTTCAAAACTCCATGAGATTACTCAGTAGTTCACGCTTACGATCACACCATGGATTGAGGCTAAGACCTGAGCTCCATTAAAGTTCAAACATGTTCGTATATAAGACATTTACGAAATCATAACCCTGAAAGATGGTTGTGGTATACCACAAACCAACTGAAGTTAAAAATATAAATCACTGGATGTTGACTTAATGACTTAAAGATTAAACGCTCGTCACGAAAATTGAAGGCTCTAGGTCCAATTGTCATTAGTGTCGTAGATATGCAGTGTTATGAAGTCTAATTCTAAGATGAAACTTCTGTCTTTCTAACACTTTCTTATTTTTACTGGTTACCTAAATAAGATCATTTCTTGATGTAAACTATGAAATTCAACAATTTCTACAAGCTCTCTATATTAACATAAGACTCATCTCGATGAGTCTTTCTTTCATTTAACTAGTATAGTTTGAAGTATCATTGAATTTAAAAATCTAGATCATTCAATTACAAGCAACTTGGTGAAAGGCCAGGTGATTGATGTGAACCTAAACGTTTATGTCCTAATTCCTTGTATGAATCATATGTACTGACTCTTGAGGGCTCTCAAAATATTAATACACTTTCTTTTCATCATTATACTTGTTCAATTACAATTTAATTGTATTACCGATTAAAATTACAAAAAACCACGTAATCTGTTTTAAAAGTAAACTACTGATAGAATCTTATAATAAATCCATTATATTAAAATGATTATGAATTATTGATCATTACTAACTGTAGATATAATAACAATAGCAGCTGCTTTTTTGTAGGAAAGTTGTCAGCACAATCTTCCATTCATTCATCTCATATATGTTCAATATAAGTATCAGTTAGTATAGATATATGACCATATATATATATATATATATATATATATATATATATATATATATATATATATATATATATATATATATATATATATATATATATATATATATATATATATATATATATATATATATATAGAACAACTAATATCGATTAACCTATTCATATTAACATTTATAATATAGATAAATGATTATGAGAGAACTATAATAATAATTATTATCATTACTATTATTATTATTTGTATATTCTATAAATTAAAATTATATCCTTTTTTCAAATTTATAATTAAATATAGAATTTTCAACAACAACAAAAAAAGGGAATATATTGAATCATTTGCAAATAATTTAATAATTTTTCATTTAAAAACGTCATTAACACAAAGAATCATAAATATAATAATAATTATCCAAACTAATTTTTTGCCAATCATATTAACACATACATACAGACATAGAAATAAACGAATATATACACATATACACATACATACAAATACACATAGATACATATAAAAATTGCAATTAAAAATAAATGCGTGTTCAATTTCAAATTTTCTATTTTCCTAAAATTAATAATAATAAAAAACTAGAAAAAAAAGAGAGAGGGGGGAGTGAGTGAATGAATAAATGAAATTTATTATTTTCTCTACTCTTACTAGAGAAAATGTTAAAAATTCATATAATTAAGAAGGGGAAAAAACAAATTTTTTTTTGAGATTCGATTAAAGTGAAAATAATTCACGAAATACTTCATCTATTCATTTATTTATTCACTTTGTGTATGTTATTGTCGAAATAATTCTCTATGTTATTATGATTATTACCTTGTTAGTTAGTTTGTATGTTGTTGTTGTTTGTTTGTTTTTTTTATAAAAAAAAAATAATTCAAATTAATATGAAATTTATAATTTCCGAATATTTTATTCGATTAAGCTAGAAAATGACAGAGAATGAGAGAGTATGCTTTATTTAGATAGAGTGGAGAGGGGAAGTTTGTAACTATTATTGTGTTATTATTATTATTAATGATTATTATTATTAATGCTGCTTTCTAAAAGAAAAAAAATCATTTTCTGACAGAATTACTAACTAAATGCATGTGTTTTTATTTAAATACGTACAAATGATGATGTTTGAGATGGAGTAGGGGAAATTGAGATATTTTAATAATTTTAATTATTATTATTATTATGCAGTATAATTATGTTTAATTATGATCGAAACTCATTAACTTTTATATCATATAAATGAGAAAAAGAGTTGATATTTCAAGTGTGATCTATTTATTATACTATCTCTCAGGCATAATTCTAATGTCTTATGTTAGTTTATTGTCATTAAAGCGATAAATTTACTCTCAACAATGAATGTGTGTTTATGTGTATTGTTTGCATAAACAAATGAATGAATCAATGAAGCATTATTCGACTCCTTATGGACTCACTTTCATTCCACATAAATATAGAATAGTCTTTTCAATTACTTTAAACTACACAATTTTGTAATTATTTTCTATCTCTTACTCTCTATCTCTCTTATTCTCTACAGTATGGACACATAAAGACACACACAACAAAATACACTCATAAAATATCTATTAAGTGAAAATAATTTTATCAAAATACTCTAACTCTATTTTGTCAATAAAAAAGTAAGTAAGCATGATCTCCCTATCGCGCACGCTTCTTCTCAAGTTACATAATAATAATATTTTTGATTACAAATCTCCATTTTTGTTAATCGAAATTTTCCTATAAACTATATTTATGATTTAATTTAATGAACAATCTCAATATCCCATTCAATAAACATTGTCATTATCATTTTACATTTATTTTTTTTTATGATTTATTATTATTAAAACATAGAATTTTAAAACTTGACTTTTCTCTACTTACAAAAGAGAAAATAATAATAATGGATGAGTGTTTATTTATTATTTATCATTAACATTAACAGTATTATTGTTTAATTCTATTCATAAAAACATTTAATTTAATACCTTTTGATTAATCTAGTTAATTGTTTTGTTTTTAGGGGGAAAAATCTGTTTTTTTCACTCTACACAAAACATTTGTTTATCTTTATAATAAATACATAAATATCTGTTATTATTATTATTGTTATGGTAATCTGAAGGAAGGTAACACTGATTTACTTCACTATGATATAAAGGTTAGGGAGACGGACACGATGGAAAGAGAAAGGATTAATAATATAATTCGAACAGTGAATATCTATGGCGTTATATTTAACATTGCCTGAACCAATAAGTTTATGAGAATAATTAGGTGGGAGTTTACTTGTTTAATTATAATACTTATCATAACAATGTTTTTATAATAAAACAATTAATGTAACTAACGTAGGATTAGTGAGTCTATCATTAACATAATGTTAGTAGTAATGGTGTGATACAATTAACCCTTTGAATAAATAAACGAAGTACCATTGTTATTATTTTCAATAAAAATAAAAATCATATTCAATAATAATTCGCATTTAGATAAACAAAATTAATTCTCTTAATCGTAAAAAAATACTAGTTAATCCCAGTTTCAATGTTAAATTGCATGTATCATCTTTTGGTTATTATAAAAATATGTACATCTGTATGTGTGCGTTCGTGTAGATGTATACATGGGTTATTGAGTGCATAACTACGTGTCTAACTACATATAATTAATTAATGCTTGTGTGTATCGATTATAATTTATCAGAAATTAATGAGTTTCAAGTTATATAAATTATTCATAGACCACCACACTTACACATAACACACATACGAATACTCATTACATAAAGAATTAATAGGATAATTCTATTTGGATTGTATTTTTTAAGAAAGCAACTGTTGTGATAATTACTTCAAAATAATAACCATAACAGAAGTTATGTTATGTATGACTAAATGGTATGTGTCAAATTTTACAGAAACAAACAATTTCAAAATTAGTATCAGAAGGGGTTTTGTTGAGATTGTAGTAATTTCAATGGTTAAGCTTCAACTGACTGATGATCTTAACCATTGAAATTTCAAAATTAACTCAAAAATATAACATTTGACTTCTTATTAAATTTATCAAAGGGACTAATTGCTTTAAATTTCTTAAAAGAAGACTCCCTGAACATACTATTAAAAGGTTAGATGAACTTGTCAACCTTAAATGTAAAAACATAGTACTGATAATCTTCGTCTTCTTATTACATTAAATAATGTATAATTGTATGTATTAGCATTTTTTGTGAATGTTTACACGTATATTTGTATGTAATATTGAAATGTTTACTAACTTTAGATATGTGCGTATTATTTAGTTCATACATACTGAAACCTAATGATTGATCACTAATTTGTGACCAATATGTTGTTTATTTAGTCGTTTGTAAAGGAAATAAGAGAAATTGCTAAACTGTTATATTTACAAAACCATAATTTCGAGGAAACATTATGCCCAAGTTTTACAAAAAATTTGTAGGATCTATATGATGTAAAATAAAAGTATCAATTATTTAGATGTATTTGAATAACTGATTGATGAATGGGCGGTGAAAAATGACAGGGTGGTCTAGTCCCCTAATACCAATCGAATTCTATAAATCAACAAGTTAAATTGTTAAGATCAGTTTAAATGACTTGATGACCTGATGTAATATGTTTTAATGGTAGGCGGTTAGAATCAGTTACTAAGAAAACCTTGTATTGAGTTTCGTGCTATCTGACACTTGTCAACAAGGCGTACCTGTAATCTTAAGGGAAATGATACTGCCTGGTTGACTTGATGCAGTGTAATCCAGCTTCACTGTTTGAAACGTTAACGCTGAGTTGTCCGAATTTCGACTAACCTCCTGTAAAACTATCAGTCCCTTCAATATTGCAGATAAACTTCTCTGACAAGTGTCGATTAGCATAAAATCTAGGTGGAGTGAATTTTCCTAATGAATACCTATAACCACCTATTATCAAGATGCATCACACACGATGTTGATCCACTTAGATAAATCGTCGGATAGCAATTTGTTGATAAGCAGAATTTAAGTTAGCACTACCGACTAGACAAACAAAAATTGGTCACAATTCAATGGTCAATCATTCGTAAATAGTGATAACATTTAGTGTATGTTAAATTTTTAGGAAAAAAATTGTACATCACATAACTTATTCATGATAATTTCAATTATCAACTATTTGATATTTGTATCAGAATGGGTTTTGTGTATCTGTTGTGAGATAGTAACTCACTGAAGACAATGGTGGATGTGTTGCTCAATTTCATGGGCGAGTTGAGGTTAGACATTAAAACCGTTGAATGCCGGCTCAGTTGTCAAGAGGCTAAGCGTTCGCGCTCAGGGCAGATAGGTCCTCAGTTAGAATCTCGCGAAGTGGGATCGTGGATGCTCACTGCTGAGGAGTCCCACAATAGAACGAAACGGTCGTCCAGTGCTTCCAGGTTTTCCATGGTGGTCTAGCTTCAATTGACTCATGATCCCAATTACATAATATTTATAAATGATGAAAACAGTTCCACAATGTATACTTCATACAAATTTAAATGATAGGTCAATTCATGATATTAATAACATCCAATAGTCTTCACAAATCCCGTATACTAATAATTGTAAATTATAGTATAGAATTTTCTGAATTAAAACATTCAACAATTAAAGTAATTTTAGAACCTAATCAATAGTCTGAATTTTTAATATAATTGATTCTGCTAGATTATGATTTCAAATAATGACACAAGGATAATTTTTCCAAATCTAATCATCAATTCCATTTTATAGCAAATATATATATATATATATATATATATATATATATATATATATATATATATATATATTTGTAATGAATGATTTAGAATTCTTTATCTAAAAACATCTATCAATTTGAATTTTGACTTATTTACATAAAAGTATTAAATAATTTATAGCCTAAATGAATATTTGTAAGTTAATAAATGAATACGATTTTTGAATAATATTGATTGAATGAAATATCACAAGAATATCTACTTTCTTCAACAACAAAAAAACATACTGTACAACTGCTCATGAAGCGCTCCAGGGTTACTAACTGTCCTAAACCGGGAAAACGAAACAAGGTTGAGTTTACGGTAAACCTATATAAAACCTCTTGTGTGAACATAACTTTTTATAGTTCTCTCAAATTTTCCAACTCATTCTTTAACTCTTAAGTGACTAGAAGTAATCAGAAGAGAATAATATTGATCGAGGTTTTATGATAGTCATTATTCATCCGGAAAGTATATTTGTAATCTTTAGGTAACTAACATCCTTTGTGGGACTTGAACTTGTGACGTTCAGCAATAAATTCAGAGACGCTACAATTGACATGTTAGACTCGTGACCCATTTCCAGTAGGACTGATATTTTTACACTTATTAACTTCTGACTAAGAAGCAATGTCTTTTGTCTAGTCCCCCCTTGCTGACCGAATTCTATTGATGAAGTTGTAATGTAGGCATTGGTGTCATTGATCAGTCATTGGATCCATTATGTTTTGTTTAATAATAAGTGATTTGTGATAATTGCAGGATGAACTAGACTGTTTTGAGTTATAGCATGGATTTTAAAAGATGAGAATTCTATTCCAAAATTATTCAAAAAAGGTAATACTTAATAGTTCTGGATGAACTCACTATTCAATGAAGTTTCACCATAATTATAGTATTTAGTTTGATATTGAAACATTAATTAGCTTAAGGGGATTATTTGTTTTCAATTATTTATCAAGTAACATTCTAAACCCAGGGAACATTGAATTTTTATTGAAATAGGGAGGATTTATGAAAATTGTAGAATTTTCCTAGCTTGAATCACCAAACCACCATTAAGAACCTGAAAGCTTCTGTGAGACTAAATGTTTCATGTTTCATTCCCTTTCTATAGGGTTGTGTATACCCATCACTGGAGAGTCCCATACTAGAATGAAACAGTCATCTATAATTTCCACACTTTTAATAAATGTCTAGCTAAAATTAATACATAATATAATAAAAATCTATTATTCATAATTTTAAACTTACTTTTTATCCCATAACCATAATCCACCATTTTTATATAAATATGGTTGTCGAATTGCCCAACATAATTTTTCACAATCATTTTGACTAGGTATATTTCTTATAGAATAGTCTTTTAAATAATTAACATTTAATTTATTATAATCAATATTATTTTGATTAGAATATTGACCAATTATTTGTAATTGATTTATAGAATATGGGTCATAACAATTATGTAAATGTTTTATTGATTTTATGTTACCATGTAATTTAAATTTTGGTATTAATGTAATATTAAATAAATATGCTTTATCAATATAATTTTCAAGGTATATTTTTAAAAAATATGACCAATCATTTGATAGTGTTAAATTATAATTAGGTATTAATGATATATTATTTTTAATTAACTTATCATTCACTGATGAATGAACGTTAGGTATTGAACATTTAACATTTTGTATTTCTGGTGTATTCATAGTACATTGAACAGATGTATTAGATGATGGAATTAATTTTTTAATTACAGTATAATTAAAAATACTTGTTACATATAATTGAGGTTGATATTTTTCCTGTAAAAATTTTCAATATAGTATATATATATATATATATATATATATATATATATATATATATATATATATATATAATATGAAGGGATAAATATTTTTTGAATTCATTTGATCCTGTTTTACTTGTACCTTCCTATTGTTATTTAGGACTAAAATTGATTAGTCTATTGTTGGTATATGTGTATCCTGTGCAGATTGCCTCGATATAGCTTTAAGTCACAAGTATTTTTTCAAAGCAAATATGGATAATGGCTAGCAGTGGAATCCAGGATGTGCGTTTCGTCCTATTTGGGACTCGTCAGCCGGATATACTTACATCCTATAGTTGATGTTCATTGCAGAACTCTAACACAGTACGCTATCATGCTATCCACTTAGCCACTGAGTCTTGATAGCCATCTGATTGTAAAATTAGGTGAAATAAATAAATATTTTTGATTAATTGGATTTCATTGACTAATTCACTATGAAACATTAAGTGATATTATATGAAGTGATATTGAAATTTAGAATATAGTAATCATTTATTTTGTTCTTTTTTAAAAATTCTGATTAGTACGTGACCGATAGCTACCTTAAGGATCGATGCCTGAATTTCTTAATCTTACTTTGAACCCTTCAACATTGAAGTATCTAAATGAGATGCAATAGTTCAACTTTAGTAAATTCTTGATAAAATTCCAACGTCGTGGTGATGATGATATTTTTAACAGGTCTCAAAATGGCATGTTTTCTTCCTGATTTACGATGATTCCTCACTTCGAATCGAACACTATTATCCACTTTTCGTATTATTATTCTGCTAATCCTTTAAGGTGTCAATTTTTATCGATACTTCACAGGTGTAAAAAATCTTAAAAGTTTTCTTTAAATATCCATCTATGTTAGTTGTTAAAGCAACGCGTATCATCAGTCTCCATCACTTGTGACCAAAACTAAGATGGTGTCTTCTATTTGACTGGTCCTCCCGATCTTTCATATTGTCCGGACGTTCCATGTACTTATAGAAATTGTTTCTCTGTTTGTTAGGAAGAGAGTCGATCCTGTAACTTCTGAAGAATCTCGGCTTTCACCAAGAAGCGTCATAATTCTTCCTTCAACTTCCACAGCACAGTTTAAATGGCTTAATTCGTTTAATCTGGTTAATGTTTTTAGCAAGATCTTTTCCGACGGGACGGAGTTGCCGACCCCATGCCCAACACTCCTCCTTAATCCGGGCTTGGGACCGGCAGTAACTCAAGAGGAGCTACAAGCGGAATCAAGATAGTATCTGACTATCATATAAACCCTAACTTTCGCTTTCGGCCATTCGAAATAATAATGATAAGTGTTTTCATTTTAATTTGTGTAGCGGTGATCATGGAATTTCACTTCTAAAACATCCTCATGTCTATCCCTTTTAACAATTGTTTCTTTACAGAAGAACAACAAAACAGAACCGAAGTTCTATTTGATTATTCCGTGCAAGAACTTCCAGACCCAGAGACCTGCTTTGAATACTCAATTTTTTTCCAAGTTAAAATCCCATTCGCACTAGACTACCATTTAAAGACATCTGGGAGTATACCAAAAGGTCATTAAGAAAAATTCATCAATCCATCCGCATATATTTGCCACAAATACGGTCGGAAAGCCTTAAAGTCACTACACCAAATATATACAGGTTTTGATAGTAGTCAAAAGTAGAGTCATGCAATGACTGTATATTTCATGTCTAACTATGAACATTTTAACTGAAGAAATTTCAAATACAAACTTTCGTAAGTAAAGCCACTTTAACTGCTAGTGTCAGGCTTATTCTTCAATCAGTCAATAAATAATTTAAACTGTACGTATTCTGATTACATATCATTAGCATAGTCCCTTATCTGCATTTTTAGATAGATATCTCCCCTATGTCTGATTGTAGTCAATCTATTTACTGATTGTAATTATAAAAATTAATGCCGCCATTCAAATTTGCGAGTGAAAAAAATGATTCAATATATATAGGTTGATACTTAAAAAAAACTGGTTATAGAAATGTATTAAAATGTTGTGTGTATGTATGTTTGAACGGGTTGCCAGGAACAATAATAAATCATTTACAACATTACTTAAAATTTAAAAAAATTTTATGAAATATTTTCTACAATTTTTTCATCAAGAAAAAAAAATCTTTTTGATATAATTTTGTGTTCAAAGCGAAATATATTTTAATGTTCAACGAAATTGGAAGGAAATGATATTAAAGATATATATATATATATATATATATATATATTTCTTGTATTCATAAACATACAACTGTTATTATTAGCAATAACAATAGTAGTAGTAATCATATTAATAATAAGGATGATATCATGACATAAAATAAAGAATATTCAATAATAACATTAAAAATTTTATTTAATATTATTATAAATCAAATAAAAAGAGACAATATTCTATTCAAATTCTTTTTAAATGAAATTATGTTACTTTATTAAAACAATAAGTTGTTCAATGTTAAATAATATGTATGTAAACATATATATATTTGCATAAGTATACACAAATGTTAAACAATAAATGTTGACCTTTGTAAAATGAAAATAAAAACTAAAAAAAACTCGATAGAAGGAAATATGAATAGGAAGATAGATTGATGAGTTAATAATGATACTACTACTAATAATAATAATTTTTTTTCTAGTTTTATTATTATTATTAGTAGTAGTAGTATTACGAAAAAAATATACCGGAAAAAAGCTTAGAATAGTTTTTTTAATAAATATCAACCGGAAATTATTAACCTTCTACTATTATTATTACTAGTAATAATATGAAATAATGTTAATTATAAGTTTATAATTTACTTGGAATTATAAGTATTAAAAGCTAATCTATTTATAATAATGTTAGGTTGAATAATTAGAAATTTATGAGATATGTTTCAAAAATAATAGTTGTTTTATGAATATTTCGTAAGAGTCCAATAGAGATAACAATTCCTAGAGATCAAATTACTTTTTAACATTTATGATTGCTTATAAAGTAAGAATTAGCTGTGTTTACGTAGCGGTGGGTATTCACATGTCCAATCTATGGGGAAATTTTAAAATGGTGATTTAATCGTTTGATGTTACGACAACCATTCATTAATTACTGTACTTTAGTAACGTGAGAGGTTAGTGAAAATTGTTGAATTTTATAATTGAAGTGACAAACTGACCCTAAAAAGTTATTGAAGACCAGGAATGACTGAACAGGCAACTTTCCACGATTAGTAGTAGAATATGGTTATGCAATATCGCAAACCAACTGAAATTACAAATGTAAACTAACGAATGCCAAATCAATAGTCTAAATGACTAGACATTGGTCGTGATAACTGATAGACCTAAGTTCGATTCCTTGTATGGATCGTGAATATCCAACTGCTGACTAGTCTCATATTAGGATGAAACAAATGTCCAAGGCTCCCTAGTTCTTAATAGTTGTTCATATAAGGCCAATTTGAAACGTAACCGTTCATTTTTAAGAGAGGTTGAGGATTCTCAAATGGTAAGGTGATAATCATAATTTGTGTTAAGTTATAGTGATTATTTTTAAAAAAATATCCTATTCTCATGAAAAGTACACCTAGATTTATAAGAAAATGGTCAAACTGACAAAATAATTAAACTAACCCATAGTGTCATTGAATAAGAAAAAGATGATTCAGCGAAGAAAATTTTCTTTTCGACGAAACCATTTACTTAAGCTGTACACTCGTATATATAAGTAAATGATTTCGTCGAAAAGAAAATTTTCTTCGCTGAATTCTCTTTTTCTTATTCACTGACAAAATAACTCAATATTTCACTTGTATATATTATATATAATGTATATAACATTCATTACAGTGATAGATTACCACTCTTGTTGATCTTAATGTTTTTCTTATTCAATATACAGTTGTGATGACTATCAGAGTGTAAAAGTTTTATTGAATTATTTAATGAAATAAACCAGTCAACTTATTTATCATTAATTGTATAACTCTAATTAATTGTATTGTATTTGAACAATAAATGACATGATAGTGAAGAAATACTGAAAATGTGCAAAAAACATTTTCAGTTATTCAAGTACATTTCTGTCTAGTTAACATTATCATTTTGTAAGTTTAATCTGAATTTATCCTACGATTTGCGGGCAAGTGATTAATTATAACATTATGAGGGAATTAATTTCTTGACAAAACACTTCATTCAATTAGTACATCAAGTGATATTACCCTAAAAACGATTAGTAAATGGTACAATATATTTATAAACATTGTATACAACGGATATGACACTCAGTAATAAATCAATACAAATATCTCAATCCTACAGGACATCAACCAAGTCTCAGATAGATAATTGTCTCTGATTGTAAAACTGAGCGATGACTAATTAAACTTCACATCAACCATATCTTTTGGTAAACCCAGACGACCTGGTTCAAATTTGTATGATAATCACAGTGAGTAGTTGGAAACATTGAGTGATATGTCTCAAAATCGATTAAAATGATACATATGAATTTATTCTCTGTTGTCTTTTATAATTTGAATTCTAGTACTCCTTCATACGCATCTTTTCATTCTATCTTTCTAAGCTATATTCTCTATTTTTAGTCTTTCCCACCATCATTGTTACTGAGATTATTTAGAATTACTTGTTTTTTTTCATATTGTTAATTTCATTTCATTTTATCAATTCGATAATGACAAATTAGGAGCAACGGACATATATTCCACTCTTTATATTGATTATAACTGACTAGTTAGTGGTATTGATCAATTAATTTGAACGTAAGTACCTAACCTTGGCACTGTCAACAATAATGGAATTTACCTTAATTTTATTAACGAAATAAAATTTAATTTATTAGTTTTTTTTGTTCTTCTGAAAAGCAACCCAGAAAACTGCTGAACCATCTTATTTTATTAAATTAGCAAAAATTATTGATATTTTATTCACTAATAATAATAAGTAATCCCATGAGATATTAATTTCTTCTCTACCATCTTCGTTATTATTCCCCCAGTGTAATATATGTGTATCATAGATGCTTGTTTAAATTGAACTCATTAACCGAATGGTTAACTATTATTATTATTGCTGAGATATTATTGTCGCTGATTTGCCTGTTCTCTCTCTCATACTCCTTAATAACTATTCACCTGATAGATAAGTAACCAGAAATTACAAATTAATCCATTTCGGATAATTATTGTTATAAATAATTTTTACCCTTTCTAATTGATATGACCTAGTGAATTATTACACTAGTAATCATAAAATGGATTCCACTGAATGAAATAATTTGATAATGAGTATGATTTTAGTCTTCTTCCTTCTTGCCCAACCCTTATACCCTAGATCTAACTGAACTGTAGAAATATCAAAAGAATAATGAATTAGTTATTGATTGTGAAAACAAATTATGATTATTTAGCTAAAATACAACTATTTTTATATATTCTTATTAATTAACCTACAATTATAATACAAGGAGAATAGTTGCGTGATTAACGCTGACTGGTCGATAATAAAATTAATTATTTACGAGCATAAATCAAGGTCGAAGATAGACCGACCACTATCTTAACAGTTAACACTGAAATGTTGACTGATGCTCCTCTTATTAAATTACTTTATATCATAACGATGAAATTTTAAATGTTCCTGACGAAGGAAATAGTTTTCTAATACATATTTTTGATTATTGATCGTTGATAATAGCCTACATATGGTCTCACGTAAAACTGTATTCATATTTTCTTTTGTTTTTCAATCCTATGTAGCTGTCAGTGTGCATTGCTGAAGAGCCCCATATAGGTTAAAATAACCACCTAACACTTTCTAGTTTCAATGATACTACAACTCAAATTAATTTGTGACAAATACTATTAATTCAAAAAGGTTTATTCAACAAAGAAGTAGATGAGATAATTTAGTTTGAACCGATTACTTACAAAATGCTTTGAAACGTTATTTGATTTCATGTTGATTTTTTCTCGATGACTCCTAGTCATAGTCATTATGAGATGATGTTAGGCTGAGAGAACAAATGTTCTCTTGTTATAATCATGTTATCGTTAAGTTAAAATAATTTTCTGGTGATAAATATCTTCCTGAATCACTCCCATAACATTTATCAACATACTAATTATTTAGAATTAAATGATATATGAACTTACTCGTTGACTTCAATATGAGAACAATTCAAAAATATGTACCGCTAAATAAATATCAGGATTATCAACTAAACGATATGAAAAGAGATCGAAATCAAAATAATAGAACTACAGTTGTGATGCCAAAGTTTAATAAATGGTTAACATTTTCAATGTTAGTGAGTCAGCGATATAGCCAGGCGATCATCCTATAATAATTATCACATAAATAACTTGGTTAAACTATACCAATCACTAGAACCCTGGTAATTTATCACAAAGTTAATCACTAGTGAGTACATGATTGTTTAATTGAGTAGTTTATGAAAATTATTAAAATTCATAAAAATCGTTTACAACATTGATTAAAATCCGTTAAGATATCCCTGTTTATAATCAAAACATTACACTTAACTCAAATATTCCTTTCCATGTATAGTAAACTAGTCAACATGAAAATGTATATTGGTAGGTTCCAATCTTTTAAGAAATTAAACGTATAATTTATATATGCTTATATAAATGCTTTGGAACCTTCAAATTAAGCTAAAATAGCAAAAATATTTCGTCTACTTTAATCTTTATTCATTTATTTTCTCTTTATTTTTTTTACTTTCTTCAAATTAATTTGATAGTTATCTTTAAATTACAGACTGAACACCAATTAGAATTCTATTCCTATCACTTAAGTATATTATTCTTAATTGATTCGAATTGGTTACACACAATCATTTAAATGATATCCATTAAAAGAAAAGATTCTGTTTTGTTTATAAATATATGTAGCACCTCATTTAATGAAATTATCTTTTTAAAAAAATTACGTCTAATGATAAGTTAGTTTAATAAATAGGTAGAGATATCATATTAATGTGTGTATATACATAATGTATTTATGGGAATAAGTATGTGTACATGTACATGCATACATACATACATACATACATACATACATACATACATACATACATACATACATACATACATACATACACACTTATTATACTCATTATCACGATCAATTTAATTGCTTTCTTGTGCCTGTACACGTTTATACAATAAACCATCATTAAATCTAATCTACAATTATATCAAGCTTAATAATATATATATATATATATATATATATATATATATATATATATTATGCAAACAATCCTGCCTATATAATTCGTTAATTTCATCATATGCAGATGCATATAAGAAATTGAATTTTTTCGTTCCTTTTTTTATTACGAGACAAAGATAAATCATGTTAATTATCTCATCTTTAAACATACATACATACACACGCACATATGTGTGTACATTCATAAACATACGCACATATTCATCATTTAATAAGGAATAATAGTTCTTATCTCTAGGTTATTGATAATCATAATTATTCTTAATTTAATTAACCGATTCAGACTGTTTTATTATTATTATTATTATTATTATCATTGGAATCAAAATGGATGCACAGATAAAAAGATAGGTAGCTAGATAGATATTTTAGTTGATAGATAGACAGACAGATAGATAAATGGACAGATGAGTAGAATACAGAATATCTTTAATCACTGTGATTATCGTATCTAAAAAAGTAATATTTTACAAAAATATGCATATTATGATTACAATTATTTAATATTATTATTATGTATGTAGTATTTAAAGTTATATTAAATGGATAGATTATTCGTAGAAATAATAATACTGTGGTGTGAGATACTTATATCTACATAAGTAGTATAGAACGATAGTCAGGAATAGAATGTATTTCAGTAGAAGATCGAAAAGGAAAGAACGAGGACGGGAAGCTATTGGTAGGAAAATGCAGGAGTAATGAAATCTGAGACGATGGACTGATGTTTGCAAAAGAAACAGCCAAGTTTGAGACAATGTATTGATACTTTGTAAATTAAGTATTTACTGTATAGTTCTCAGATTTTAGTAAGAGGTTCTGTAATTTTGTGCTCAGTATATTCGATTGTCCCAACTCGTGTTCTTATTCACTACAATACTACTTATAATGATAATAGTGGTATCATAGAAAAATTTATTCATTATATAAATTCAAGATATATTTTAAGCAATAAAGAAAGAACCATAATGTATAAAACTGCAAAAGAACTGCAAACTAAATTGAATTCGAGAGTGATTTCCTCTAAAGAATAACAGAGTACAAATTTATGTCCTATTAGGAGTAGAATCTGAAATGTGTGTAAGTAGACATCACTCAGAACTATTCCTGGGGTTAAACAATGAAGTATTTAAAATGTGATTTCTATTTATTTCTATTTAATTCTGGCATAAAATAACATTGAATATTCTCAGAAATCCGTAAATCTAGAGTTTCATGTTGGTATGTGCTTACTGGATAGATGTTTCTGGAACCTTGGGAAACTGATACTCATCCACTAAGTCAGGAATCATAATCTGCAGTAACGATTATCACAATCAGAGATATTCTCCTTGATCTATTACGAATATGATAGTGACTTGTTCAAATGATATGTTTCCAATTACTCGGTCGTTGAGTAGTGATCACTCTCATATTTTTTTGGTTTCACATGGAAAATTTTACGCGTTATATCAACAATTTTAATGTACTATTTTATTAATAATATCCTGTGATTCTTATATGTTAACTAACTTAAACAAACATAATTCATTGTTTTAAGTAGAGATGGATGGTGGTAACAGTAGAATCTAGGATGGGCCTCCCGTTCTAGTATGAGACTCCTCTGCAGTCCCATACTTCTACGAAATAGCCATCCAGTACCTATAGTCATTCAATGGGGGGGGGTAACATTAATCTGTTTATGATTTCGGGGAAATTCGATAATTTTCACAAGCCATTAAATGATGTCAAATACTACTGAATTCAAGTTATACAAATTCTGATTAAATAAATCATGCAAAAAGTGGTGTATTCATAAATTAGTTTGATTTATTTCTGGGGTCAAATAGATCGGTAACAACAGTCTTTGTGTCTTCTCTAAGCGTCGTCAGATTCAGGTTTCTCAATACTAAGTATGAGCCATTTAACCACCCAAAAGACATTAAGATAACTACAACATAAATGTATTTACGAATATTAAAGGTCATTAATGCTTTTCATCGGGCAATGACTTAAACTAAATAATTAATGAAAACTAAGGAGCATTAAATACTTTGGTTTTCTTTCATTTTAAGGGTTCTAATAGTCTGTATCTATGAGTATTTTAACACCAACTTCTTAACTGCTTTTCGGTCTTTAAAGTCCTTCACTCTTTAGTTCACAACGGAAAAAATACATGAAGCATGGGAGAAGTTCTACTCTTAAGGTTTATTTTTATACGGAAAAGAAAGAGCATGACCTTATAATTCGACAAACTTCCAGAAAACACCTTATATTGACAAAAATGATTGTTACCTATCTGTAGACACTGAATGTGTTAAAAATTCAAAACGATCTTAGAAAAAATGAGGTAACTTTTATTAAATAAAAAGCTCATTTCAAATATCAATTGAATTTTCATCCAGTTATATTTCATTATCATAAAATATTTATTGATCTATTTGAATGCTATGAATATGAACTTTAAAAGTACATCACCAGTGAAGTAAAATTTGTCTACTTGAAAAAAGTGTTTATATTTTAATACAAATGGTTGTAAAGATCATTGGAATTCCATAGTTTTACAGCATAGATTGACTTTAGTTGGAAAGATAGATGTTTCGTCTTGAATGGAACTCTTCAGACGTGTTCACCTAACCTACTGCCAGTGATCAAACCTAGTACCTTAAGGTCACTCAATGTACCTCTTACCTTTAAAATACTGATTTAAGATTTAATAGTTTATATTTTTCACTCCCAATAGTATGGCAACTATCTCACTTTAGATAAAGAGACCTAACGGTCACATTTTTTATTTGATAAATTAAGTTTATCGTTTGGTTTATTGAAATCAGTTCCGTTTTAGTGATTGAAATTTAATGTGTCCCTCACTTCGATTTAAGAGTCTCATGTTTGACCCTTAAAGAGACTTTACAAATATTCTACTGAGTAAAAGTGACATACGAAACTGAAACTGTTTTCCGATACTTTCAAGTTTGCCCTGGATGGTTATTTGTTTAGGTAAACTCTTATACGGTATAAATTATACAACACTGTTGTTTTTTAGATTATCAACCCTTTATTTAACATAGATTCATTCAAAACGAATACAAGATGAAAGAACATTCTACATTTTGTGGAATCAAGTTCAAATCAAAAAGTTTTTTGAGGGGGGAGGAGTAATTCAGCTTCCTCTCTGAGATGAATTAATTTGAATATGCTAGTGATATGCTCAAATGTAAATTTATTAATTAGATATTTGGTATTGACGAGTGAAATTTGCAGATTCACTGTTTCATAGGTTTCATTCGCGTTAATACTAATACTACTATTACTACTACTACTACTACTACCACTACTACTACTACCACTACCACTACTGTAGTGAATAAGAACACAGGTGGTGACAACCAAATGTATTTTAATAAAATATTACAGAATATCTTGGGAAAATCTGAAAACCATACAATAAATATTGCATTTACAAAATATCCATCAACTGTCTCAGATTTTGTTGTTCCTTCGTTTCTATACCAATCACTCCTTGTTTTCGTTCTCTTCTCTTCGATTTTCTCAACCTTCTGCCACCAGGCATTCCACTCTCGATTGGTGATACATACAACGTATGTCTGTCGACATCGGTAGCACACACCTCATTACTATTACTACTAATTATTATTGTTACCATTAGTATTATCATCACTACTATTAGTAAGATTATTTATAAGCTCTCCCAATATCTACATCATGCACTTCCCTAGCTTTAAGCACAGTAAGA